TCTCTCTCCCCAAGCCCATTAGTCTTAATTCGGACCCACGCATTGCTAACCTGAAGGTTCAACTAGTTAGCCTATCGTGTGTAGGCCTTAATCTAGATCTGGACAAATTCTCTCGTGTATACTAATCGGTAGATAGATCAAGGATGTAACAGAAGTAAATAATTTACATACTAAATAAAACATATTAGTATTCAAAAGTGATTTTGGAAATATTTGTCACTAAAAATCGCTTCACAATTCTGAACTGCGACTGAATATTTTATTTGGAACCATTCATATTGCCACCTTGGCATCAATGTTAAGCGAGCGTATTAAACTGGCGAAAAGACTCACTGAAAACGTGTCTGACTTTATGACACCTCAACATATGCTGGAAACCAGTTATTCTAGTAGAATGAGTAGCATTTGAAGTGAAGAATTTAACATTCTATGAATGCATTTATGGAGCAAATAACCTCTGACTAAAACACCCATAAGGTTTAATTATATGCAAAGTTAAGCTGAATTGATGGACTGATAGTAATACAAAACCGAAAACATAAACAAATTTAAAGTGGCGATATTGAATAGGAATTCTTTAAGTAACTTGTATCATTATCAAGTTTATAGTAAACATCTTGATTAAAATTTTGTTTCATCGGTAGCTTAAGCGTTTTGTTTTTGTTATTGATAAACAATCTAATTTCCATCTAAAAAATCCCTTTACAAATCACAAAAATAGTGGACAATTGAAATCGGTTTTCTATTGAAAATAATAGAATCTTAATTTTTTTTTTAATTTAAAGCAAAATACTTAAAATTATATGCTTCAATTATTGATATAAAAATCATTGAACTCTATTAGCGCACGTATTAGTTACCGAGATAACTTATCCCATAGGTCGATCATGATATTACCCATGACTAATTGTTTATCTGTTATCAACCAACTGGTGAATAACTCCTCACTGAAAAGATCTGTCATATTTATATTGGCTTTCATAATGTTATCTATGCATTATCAACTAATAAAATATTTACTTAATGATAATAAACATTTATTTATGTTAATTTCAAAGACTATTCCAAGCACAAAAAAACTACAGTTATCGTACTAAATTTTAAAAAGTACTATAGTTATGATGAAATAAAGTTATAATTTGTTTCTATAAAAAACAACTAAATAAATATCAGAAGGGGTTTTGTGGATATTATTGTAACTTCAATAGTTGAGATTATGAGTCGATTGAAGTTAGACCACCATAGAAAACCTGAAAGCACTGGACGACCGTTCTTGTTGATGCAGATGAATTCACTTTTATCTTTCGATCATGAGTTCCAACCTTCCTTCCCACACACGTTTTCACTCTCTTTTTGAAACATCCAAAGGTTCACTCTCTCACTGTCATTTCTGCTACATTATTCCGATCTCTTTTGGGATTCATGTTTTCATTCTTAACCTCACGTACTATAACTGTATGACAACTCCGGACAACCATTTATGATAGGCTTTTTGTTGATGATTACCGACTGATTTTTATCTGTGAATAGGTTATATTTAACACTTCTGCACGAATAAGCTACGATTACCGTTATCATTTTACTGTCTATAAATTGAGATGTAATGATTATATTAGGTAATAAGAAATCTTCAAAATAATTTTCTCAAGTATATGAAAGTAATCAAACGTATGACTATGTAATTTTTTGGAAACGCTAATTTTTTGGATGAAAGGCACATGCAAATATTTTTCTTTCTGGCGATAGTTAATATTAACATTGTTTCTTACTGCGAAAATATTATTTCAGCCACAGGACTCTGGCTATTGCATATTACCATTATAGATACAGAACAAGTTCCATAATGAAATACTTCATCAAACCTTAAATCGGAGCCCAAGCAATAGGTAAATAGTATTCGAATTTCTTTTTAAAAAATATATGGGATCTAGTGTTGAACTATTAAGCTTGGTGACCGTATTTTTTTCCTAAACGATGATATTTATGGTAAAGAAGATTTCACACCACTTACAAAGGATGAGAGTTAAATTCATTTTGTATTTTCTTTCGATCTTTCCATAGATGTTTAGGACTGCAATCGATCCATCTCTTATTAGCATACTGTGCGGATCGCCTCGATATTGCCTGAAGTCACAAGCATTATAAGCTAAAGATGAATGGTGACTAGCAGTGGAGTTCAGGACGCGCGTTTCGTCCCATTTGGGATTCGTCAGCTGGATGCATCTGCATCTCCAGAACTCGGACCTAGTAACGTTCGCTTCAAACGCCATCGTGTTATCCACTTAGCAGGTGCATCCAGCTGACGAGTCTCAGATAGGACGGAACGTGCGTTAAGCATTCCACTGTTAGCCGCCATTCATCTTTATCTGGTCTTTTATTTATAGTCATAGATTTTATACGCTCATCGTTCACATAAATCAGAATAGCCAGCTTAGAAAATATAATTTAGTAACAATATATCTTAATAAATCGAAATCGTTGTAACAAACTGTTACATTACGACGCATTTTACTTACAAGAGCATTATGGAAGATAGCACAATCTTTTAGCGGGCATCGGATTTGGTTCAATAATCCTACCAAATCTTCTGGCTCAATCATCAACGTAGAACTTCTATGTATCATTTTTTAAAAATCAAATTTTATTTATTCATAATACAAATATGAATTCACATAAAAAACTTATGATTATTTTTGTTTTCTCTAGTAAAATTGCTCCAATCACACCGGTTGTATTTAGATAAACAAAGAAATTATGATAAAGCATTGAATAGCTAAGAAATTGTTACAAATACACCATTGATTATTACAATAGAATATGAACTGATAACTGGAAGACCTTAAAATATATCATTATCCACTAATAGAAAATACTGCACGGTGAAACGTGTGAAATTTTGTTAAGTTTGATTCAATTTGTTGAAAACTAGTATCCTTGCCCAAATCCTACCCATTTATATATATATATCATGGATGCGCACTGATGAGGAGTACCACAATAAGACGAAACGGCCGTCCAGTGCTTCCAGGTTTTCAATGATGGTCTAACATCAACCGGTTCATGATCTCAATCAAAAACTTAACAATCTCCACAACCCCTAAACTGATAAAATAACTCAGCTCTAGTATCATAGCCAAATAAGAAAATAATCTTTTAAAATTTATCCATAGTGTTACCCTAATTATAAGAGTATGGTCTATACTTATTTATTGAGATCATGAACCGGTCAATGTTAGACCACTGTTGAAATCCTGGACGCACTGGACAGCCGTTCTATCCTAAAATGGGAAACACAACAGTATGGATCAACGATGCCGCATGCGGGATTCCAACTCGGGAACTTCGGTCTGAATTGGCATGCAACAATTTTAATGCCTGATATCGACTAATCCATTATTTGATGGAAGAAAACGGTCCAGTTAATCACCTCTTTAAATGACAATTAAATGTATTTTAATGAACACCCTAGTTGTATGAATCATCGTCAAGCTACAGGTTCATTTTCATCATCACTCGTTAAAATGTAACACAAAACTAAATGTTTCATTTTAGTTAATGGTACTGGAACTTTCTTATCCTATATATTTCTATCCTTGCGTTTTCAGTTCACTTAAAGTCTGTGGAAGTTGCTGCAGGCTAATATCTTTCTCACCAATACATTCTTTAAGTAATCACATGGTAAATGTTTTATTTACAGAATATCACCTGGTAGATTTTCTGTACTCTTTCTCAACAGATGTGTCATCACAAAAGTACATTTTATTCGCGATATCATTGAGTACAATCAGAGATAGAGTTGTTGTGGTATCTTTCTCTACATTTATTTGAACTGTTAACTAAATCTTTTTTCTTTAGAGTTCATTTTCAATAGAAAGCGTTATTATAAAATTTTTCTTATAAATAAAGGATGCTATGAAAAAATTGATTCATTCACTTCAGTTATCCTTAATAACCAAATGTTCATAACGAAATTAGTATCATGTCAAGGCAAACATGTTACTCTGCATCAGATTGTGTCCTTGGTAGTAGGAAGTGCTGTTGTCGGTCGACAACCCTCTAGACATAAAGGTTTTAAGGCTCTTTATTTGTTTTGTTTTTTTGAAGGAACTTATAAGAGTATCTAATTGTAAGACTGAAAAATATAATGCTACATATACTACATTTTACACAATGACACACATAGTGAGATATTAGCTAGTCATTCTCAGCATATCAGTTTTAAAATTAACTGTCATTCAACTTGTTGTTACTAATCCAGAATTTCAAACGTATGAAGCGGTCTATTTATGATGATTATAAACCCCTTCTAATGAGTGTTGATTTACGTCAACATTGAATACATTGGTCGCTGCAAATATTTGGGATCATTTCTAGTTTTAATCCTACCTGTTCAACGCTCATTTTGCTGCTAAAGCTGTCTATATGCTATCTGAAGGTGTAAGTTTGGTAGGTGACCGATATTTTCTAAAAACTATGAACCATTACAAATAGAAAAATTTATCTAAAAATCTGTAATCAAAAAGTTCAGTCGTTTAAATTAAGTGATTTATGAAGTTTCATTCATTTTTAGTTTGGTACATATTCGTGATGAATGTCATTTTCAAACGTGACTTCATTCTCTTTTTATACTGTTTATCCATTGAATGTAAAATTGATACAGAATTTGTTGTCTTGCAAGATGAAATATTCAAAGATGACAAATTTTGAGTTCTATAGAAAGAGGAAATCTAATGGACCAAGCGAATACGTAAAGATGGAGGTTACATAGTATAACTGCTTTGTTTAAAGGGTTAGCTTAAAAGAAAAGTTAGAATAAACATAGGTTATTATTAGTAATTACAAACTTCACTTTACGAGTTATTATGTCCAGCGCATCAATTCTGAATAACTGGTTAGCATCATTGAATATATTACTGAAAATAAGTCTTGAAAATGTAATTAAAAATGGAATAACACGAAAAAATAGTTTTTCTTCTAAATAACTTTAATCAGTTCTTAATTCATGTGCATTGAGTAATATCTTGCCCGTCAGCAACATGACCAAATGAAGTAGGATGTCCATTAATTTCTAACTTTTTTATACAACCATTGAAATTTTTGGATTTGATAAAAACATTCTCTTTATGTGAAGATGAATATCCATTACTCATCAGTTCCAGGTATCGTCTTTGTGCATGTAGAGTTTCAGGGATTCCTCCTAAAAGAAAAGCAGCATTACTTCTTTAAATAGCACTATAAATTTTATATAAGTAGAGTCTACTAGAAACGCTTAATTAATAATATAAAAATAAACTGGTAGTCTTAAGAACTTAAATCAGACCTATTTCTCATTGTTTTGATCGCTTTAGAAAGATCGAGTGGTAAATAGACTAAACAAATACAAAATACTCAACTTTTTCCTGTAAGGAATGATTAACAGTAAATGGGTAATCTGGAACATTTTGGATACTGATTATTTATTGCACATGTTTCTATGTTTCAATATTCCATCATAAGGTGTTACTTACTAGTATATATTATTCTTAAAAAATTATCTAATTATTACCTACTTCTATAGCAAATATAGCTCTTTCAGTTTAATTGACAAATGTACGGTATTTTACCTGACACTCCATAAATAATAATCTGTTTGGTCATTCAGGTATCTTGTTTATTAAGCTGTTGTACGAAATACGAATGTTAACAATTGCGACATGTAAGGTGTACTATGATATGGTTAGTTATTAACTATCCAATGTAACTACTTCTGGTGTAATATCGTTTGCAGATGTAAATTTTAAGAATTATGATTACGATTGAATATACATATGTTTACCAAAGGACATTTTAACCGATGCTTAATCTACAACAAATTCACCAGTTATTAACAAAACATAATCAGACGTTGTATGTTTGTTTTTTGAAGTCTACACATGTGTGTTGTAGAATTAGCAATCTTCACACTTCACAACTCGTCTGAATTCCTCATGTGTTTGAGATTCCGTGAACCAACTTTTGTACTCATAAATCAATTTTTTTCAAAATCTAGGTGAAACATTTACTACTTTATGAATAATTATCTGACTCTTCTGTCATTCCAATTGGTTTACTTAGGAAATGACCATAACGTTATATTCACAATTGTTGTTCAGAAAATTAAATATTCTTTAGTAAACGGTAGCATGGAGTTCACTTACAGAGAAGCTTTACAACTTTAGGTCGTTCTATTTTAAAAGAAGTGATAACTCCTTATTATGTTTTTATTCTGTTTTTTAATCACAATATCTATTTCCATTAGTAATAGTGATAATATAAACAAAATCAGGTGAGCTGCATTATTTGCTTTTAAAAATGATGCTCTGATTTAAACAGGAATGGAAGCTATAATATTATGAATAGAACATGACGTCATCGATTTACCAAAGAACAATTGAACCGGTTGCACTTCGTTTTCTTTAAAATATATTTGAGCAACTTGTGATTGGTTGATAAATAGTGTAATGGCCTTTGAACTTCTAGATAGCAAGCATTAAAAAATCAACAAGTCAAAAATTCAATAAGTCAACATTTGATATTCGGAGCATGGAAACAGTGAAACAACGTGTAACTTAAATATTCCTATCATAATGGCGATTTATGGAGAATGTATTAGTTTTAATGATTGAATTCATGTTTCGACCTACGCTAGACCACCATTGTAAACCTGCAATCACTGAACGGCCGTATTAGGACGAAGCGGCAGTCCAATGATTCCAGGTTTTCACTGGTGGTCCAGCTTAGATCGAATCATGAATTCAACTTACATATTCCATGATAATAAAATCACGGTGAATGTGCTTCATCTAAATCCCCAGAATATATCAATTATGTATATCGTTGTTATTATATCGTTGTTAAACAGGGCTTGAAACAGAATTCCCGAAGAGAAATTTTGCCACTACACATTATCTGACCATGGTAAGATGAATGTGATTATGTATAAAGATGAAGAAAGTCTGTGTAATAACAATAACGGTCTTTTATATTACGTAGTTATTTTGACTATACAGTGCATGAAATAAGAAGTAAGACTTAGGATGCAATACACACCATATCATAAAAATCTATTTTCTGTTCTCTGATGCACCAAAACGGTAAATATACAGAGAGGATTGTCTAATAGTTCCTTTAATTGATGTTCAGTTTCTATTTATTACTAATCCCAATCTCTTGAAGATAATACCTTTTATTTTTCTGTAAAGAATTGATTTATATTGTGAAGGAATGAAACTATTTATAACAATCAATTTGACCAAGACAAGTATTAAAGAATTCAAAAGATAATTTTACTCGGTCTTTTGTGTAAGACTGTTATATGCAAATCTATTGTAGAATGCAGTCTGCCATGAATAATGTAAAGTCAATGACTTCCGTTTCTCTACACAACCTCAACTACTGCATAAGAAAATCGATTATCTAATTTATATGTATAAATAAAATGAAATGAAAGCAGAGGAAGGATAACACAATATACAGAATGGTAAAGATGAATCACACGGCGTGAGAATACATGACGGGCTGAACAAAATAAATTTAACTGAGTATGAAAAGAGAAATCAAAAATGTGTACATATATAATCTTGTGCTAAAGTACAAAAGCTATTAGTATACTGAACCAACTAAATAGTTTGATTTCCTGTAATATACAGTGCAAAAACTATTATGTGACAAATTTCATGGCGACCCAGTATGTTTTGATGACTTAATGGAATATTAGGAATAAACCATAGATGCTGATGCGAGGTATCTAAGTTGACTTATTCGGAGGTTTGACCAGTGATTTTGATATCTATAGACAAACGTCTGCTAAATATCAATTGAGCGTGTTTGGCTCAAAAAATGATTGCTAAATTTCAGATAATTTGTCGTTTTATCACTCAGGAGCTTGAAAACTAATACGTATATTTAAAGCGATTTCTTTCTTTATCTTAACTGTTCATGTTAATTTATAAGATAGATCTGTCGAAATTTGCCTTAAAATTTCAAGTTAATATTTAAAGCATTTACAGCTTTTGAAATTCCTCATTCTAGTCACTTCTCGGACTAAATATGAATGATTGCCAAAAATTACTATTAATGACTCTCGAACTAAGTATCCACTTGAATACGTTTTATGAATAAGGACAAAGTTTACTGTGGATTTACATGTAATTCATATAACATATTTTTAAGTCATGTCGACACAAATCAAAAAACGATATATTTATCAACGGTGACTAACTTTGTAAGTATGAGTTTGTGCCAATCGTGTCTCAACTCTAACTTCTCTGAAATGTCATACATTTGTATCAACATACGTTGACTAAATTGGTTACGGCCAATTTTCCATAATTCATCATCATTCGAGGATTGATTAGTCACGTTAGATAAGGTGACTATATATTTTTCAGTCTCTACATACTCTAGGCCTAATTTTAGTCTTCTGCTGGAAAGAAGCTGAATTAATATATTTTGTATTTTGTGTACACCTTGAAATACACCATAGACCAAATATTGTTTGAACAACTTAAATGATGCATTACTTGTTGACGGATAATTTTTCACAGAACTAATGCCATTTCCCAAACTTTTGTTGGATAGCCGAAATTCAAGCGATATATGATAGTGACGACTATTGGGTCTAAAAAGTAAATCATAAAAGATTAACAGTGAATGTTAAATGTCCTCTCAGTAAGTTAGTATCATAACATATTATTCCTAGCAGCTATGGCCCAATACAACAGTAAGGAAGTTAACAAAATTTATCCAAACAATATTGTTGAATTAGAAAATAGCATAAATAACAGAGGAGTTATGAACAATACATAGAAATAATTTTCTTGAAAATATTATGAGTTAATATAATCTAAACTCTAACTAAGCAAACAATACTCATACACCATGAGGTACAGTATTCGAACTTTCATAAAACCGATTAACGAGTGGCTATTGACAAAAGTTAGTAGTTTATTGACGCAAACAATAAATAAATTTAATTCAGGTAGTAGAAAAATGAAAGTTAAACAGATTTTAATAAGTACTTTCTGAAATATATGGGAAAATTTAATTCATTTAGTATGGCAAGCTATTACTCTTGAATTGTTTTTTTTTTTCATTATACATCGTGGAGCTCCTAGAATATCTGTTTAATGTTACAATTATTATGACTAAGTTATCGCTTGAAAGTGATAACGCAAATAGATACAAATAAAACCTAATCAGCGTTTCTATGAACTAAAATCATCAAGCTATCAAACTTAAATATTAAAGATAAGCATTTATGTTACATATTGTCATTGAAATTAAGTACTGTTTTCAAATGGCTTTACAACGAGCATGATGACGACCAACGTGAGACTGGACATCTGCTCATTGTGATATAATGAATATATATATTTATTATTATTGGTTAGCATGAGAGTTAGCCTTAGAAATACAAGCGAAGTTTGTTTCGAGTCATTATTTGCTCTTAAGAAGGACGTTTCAGTAGAAACAACGTACATTAGTTATAACGAATGAATTATGAATATACATTTAATCGAATTTTGACTTTATCCAGTCATCTAATATTGATTTTCTTAGTTTTTAGGCTTGAATATCAATTAAACTGTCAATCAGCATCATATAATAAGGGTTGGGTCATTTCTAACAGAATTAAATTTTTGTAAAATTTACAGGGTTATTGATAAGGAAGAAATAAAAGCTTCTCGTCGTTTCCTTCCTTTGACAAATCAAAGGTTTATTGTGTTCATTCTCTTTGTTTTACAAACAGTCTCTCTATTCTCATTAACTAAATTTATAAAGGTTTAACTTTTTGAGGGAAATTCGATAATTAACGCTTCCAACAAAAATCATTTTTAAACGGGGATGAACTTCTCAGTACTTCTCTAGAAGAAGTAAAATAATAGTCCCCAAAACATTATAAAGTTGAATTTCACTTGATCATACTATAATCCCGGACTAACATCACTTGTAAAGTCACTGAATTACAATGAAAACTGAATAGACGGTTTGTCACCTGGAGTTGTAAATACAAATTTTTTGAACATGAATCTGTAATCCAAATGTATTGTGCTTGCTTAGATAGCTGAATAGTTCGTGTAAAATCACGTAAAATACCCAATAATTCAGCTGAAATTAGTTCAAGATGTGAAGTGACTTCAAATTTTTTTAAAAATGTTGAGAGCCTACTATCTTTATAACTGCGCTTGTCATATGATCAAACAGACGAATATTCATGTTTCTTATTTACTAAAATCGTTCGAAACTTAACTTTCAAGTGACTTGACTAAATATCTGCTATTCATAAAACACACTAGGTGTATTTTGCTTATACCAGGAATTAGAATTAGAAATAAAACATTGTATTTTAAACTTTTTAAGTCATTCTGTCTTCATCGCTGGTAAAGAAGTTCGTACAACGTCTGGAGCAGTTTTAAAAACATAATAATCCATCGCTTGTACTTTGTCGTAACGGACTTGACTACATATTTTATCACATCAATCGTCTCATATCAATGATTATAATTTCATGAACACAATGTGGTTCAACTGATCAAAATTTCGGGTTTATAGACCAGTATTGTTGCAGTCATCATAAAAAGGAAAGCAGAAGCCAGTTATTTAAAAAATATATATGATAAACGTTAAATAAAATCTTTACCAACCTATAATTCAATGAGTTCGTTGTGAATTTCACGAAACTGTTTTCTCCAAATGCAGCTAATTGCTTCCCTTGCCAATTAATTTCTTAATGAATATTATCAGTGGGTGTTTAGAGAAAAAAAAAACATAAACTGAAAATGATAAAATTTCAGTTATTTTGACTACTAATTAGCTCGATAATAATTTCAGTTATCTCATTCTTTTTTCTCAATGATGTATACTATCTGATTGTACGTATTAACAGTTTACCATTAAATATATGCTACATATATGTTATGCAATACTAGTTTCCTCAGTAATTAGATCAGCTCTCCCTCCGATCATCAGATAGATACATAGTATTTCTTAATTTACGGGTATCAATACTCAGAATTCACTACTTAAATCAGGAGTACATGTGTATGTTGCAAAAACTTGATTTTGATTCCACATTGATGGAGTTTTATTAACTCTCTTTAGAATAGTTAACCTTATTAGTATATCAATCTACTTGACTAATAAGGGTTTAGTTATTGTGCAACCTATAGAAAACAATTTTTATAAATCCACAAGTCATGTAATTTGTTTACGAGAAACGTTGGTTATTCAGACTTTCGTGAGTATTTTCAGGATACACTATGGAAAAGTTAAACAACGTAATTTACATCAAAAGTGGATTTTTAATTCACTTGGTATTGTTTTACTTGAATCTTTTCATTGATGTTTAGGACTGAGATTGATCAGTCTCTTATTGGTATATGTGCATCCTGTGAGTGTTGCCTCGATATTGCCTTAATTTACGAGTATTAAAAGCAAAAATGGATAGCGGCTAGCAGTGGAATCCAGGACGCGCGTTTCGTCCCATTTGGGACACCTCAGCTGGATGTACCTGCATCTCAGATTTGATGTTCACTCTGGGACTCGAACCCAGTGCCGTTCACTTCAAACGCCATCGTGTTATCCACTTAGCTACTGAGTCTTGTTAGCCACTTGCTTGTGCAACGAGGTGAATTCAAATTCACGTGGTATTATTTTGCTTGAATCATCCCATTGATGTTTAAGACTTCAATTGATCGGTGAACATCAACCTTAAGATACATCCAGCTGACGAGTCCCAAATGAGACGAAACGCGCTTTGTCCTGGATTCCACCGCTAGCCACTATCCATTTTTGCTTATAAAGTAGATTTTTTATTCGAATAGATGTAGCTTGATATGTCATCAATCTTTTATCTCCTGGACATTAATTTGTAGTCACTTTAAAGTTTACTGAGTCTAAATAACTTTCACGGAAATGTACATAACTTTGTTTAACTTCCGAAATTGTATGTGTCACAGTTCAACTTAGAGAAAAACAAACTTACTGAAACTCATACAAATCCTGCTATTAGCAAACTACATTGATGTAGATGAACAAACATCAAACAAACGAATCAGGGGTAGATATTTCCCTTCAATTTATTGATAATTTTGAGATCTTTACTATCTATAGAGTTTGTATTTTTCAATGAGTAATAAACAAAACAAAATTATCAGAATGTTCCGGAAATCGTCAAGTTTTATCGAAATCCTTTAAAACTTAGAAGCACTAGGCGAGCGTTTCATTTTAGTATAGGACTTCTCGGAAGTAATCATCTAAGACTCCCTAACCGGGAGTTGAGCCCAAGACCTTCAGTCTTGTACATTAACAAAAATCACAACTTATTGATGTTAACACAATCAAAATTCTTGCGTTGTAAAGTGAATGAATTGGTAAGGGTAATATGTGTAGACCCTTAAATTTGATAGATGTATGAGTTATGAAAAAACATATGTTCATGCAATCAAATTCTGATGTTCTTTTACCTAATTATAAGATCCTCTAGTCGTGACAGACGCAAATATTTTTAATATGACGGTTTTAAAATGAGAGTTAGGAATAAAAATGTCTTCCATAAGTACATAGCGAATCTATGTTTCATATTCGTAATGACTATAAATTTTCACGAAAATACAAACCCACATATTACAAGATGGAACATATGGAGTTAGCTGTCAGGCTAAGTGTAAAACTAAGTCTTCAGTTTCTAAGAGACGATTGGTTGTGGCGTAATCTGAATACGATATCAGATGAAAAACCATTAAAAATCAGGAAGTATGCAAGAACGGTTTTTTAGTTGTTTGACTCGTTAGGAATTAAAATGCCTTAAACATTACAAAGAAATATATACATCCTCATAGTATGCATTAGATACTTAAAACTTGATGTGCACGTGAAATAATCAGTCAGTCAGTCAGCTACAACGTAGGACCAGGCACATATATGCATCGGTTCAAGTTGCCATACCTCATTAACACAACAAGATGAACACCGGATTCATAGAAGTAGTTAATTCAATGGTGGTAATATATAAAAGAAAGATAGCATATAATTGCATATAGCACAGGAAGAAAGAATTAGGTCGTAGAAAGAAAGATATGAAGCTATTTTAATCTCTTAGTTTAAGAGAAGACAGAGTGTATACACCGACGCCATTGTGATCGATTCTGAGCCATGTCACCCAGAGTCTCCAACCATTGGTTACGATAGTCACGCGGACCCCAACCAAGTGGTCTGCATCTACCAACATGGCTCAGACTAGAAGTTAGTGACTTCAAGCACTGATGCCACGTTTTGGTTTGGCCGCCCCTAGCTTTCTTCCAACCATCTCCAACACCGATTAGCATTGCACATCGTGGTAATCGGTGTTCAGACATACGCAACACGTGGCCCAACCATCTCAGTCGATGAAGATTCACAATCTCACCAACTGATTTACTATCGTTCCCTAATACCCTGCGTTTAACCTCAAACAGATTTCAATAACTGATTCTAATCAGTGACATGCTGGACACTTGAAATTGAATGAAGCCGGAAAATATGAACCGCTAAATGCCTACTTTGAATCACAAATATGGGAGAGATGCATGTTTAAATGCAAAGTGTAGACTAAAGCAGCAAGTACGCACTGTATTTTGTCACTAGCTATAGAGGATAATTGAAATCAAAGCGTTTTATTTTAAATAATCATGAACACTCCATTTTATGAAGGGTGTCCATTAATAACTAATAAAGGAAGGAAATTACTATAAAAGCCGCACGGTGTAGGATACGTTTCAGACTAGTTTTATGCTTTATATCTGCTTGAAATCGAAACTCAGATAATCTCTTTTTCTTTTCTCGTCAATAATTTCATTTTAGAAGTAAGAGGTTATGTAAAGTAAAATTTCTGCCTATTGATAATATCACTAAGATTATCTAAAAAATGCCACCAGTGCTCTGCTATTACAGTCTAAATATATTCTTATATTCTTATCATGTGGTTTAAAAACTGCTTAAGAAATCTTATACTACCCTATTCAAATCCATCAGTTTTGTAACACATATGGTTTGCATAGCTCAAATTTTAATGTGAATGATGTCGCATCTAAAAATCAGATGCCTTTTGAATAACGGAATGGATAGTCAGTGTATATTTAGAAGATTCAGAGTTATAAATTGCGGTCTCTGATAATTCGCAAATACTGAAATCTGAATGATGCAGATTGTCAATCTGAATCTTGAGTCTCAAATAAAGTAGTGTTCAACTTTATTAAACAGTTAGAGGGAGAACAGTTTTACAAACTTATATACACAACTAACATCGTTATTATTAGTAAACAAGTGCATTAATTTCAACTATCGGGGAGAAGTGGGGACTGAAACACATAAATTGGAATAATTAACTGATATGTTTACGTAAGTCAATGAACATGGAAATCAGGCGCTTCATACTGCTGTAGAACATGACAATCGACAGATTTGTTTATTACAAATGGTTTACATAATACATATACACAGCTTCCGATCATCCGTTTGCATCTCACAGTGTGTTCTGCAGTCCATACTATCTTCTGGTCTAGTCATCGAGTGTTTTTTCTACAACAAGCTTCCGATGTACTGGAACTCTTCACTCTGTCTGACGACTGCAACAACTTCGAGGCCACGTTCCGCACCATACTACTTACAAGAAATCTTGTGAGTGGCGTCTACTACACTATTCTTAACTACATATACACTGCTTCCACAAGCAGTCAATAAACTCCAATCCTGGATGAATAACCTTTTAATAAATGTGATAAATAACCTAAATAAATGGTAGCATCAAACATCAGTCAGACTTTGCATTTACATCTCTTGTAAACCAGAACTGTTTTACCCCCGAACAGTACTCCTAATATCTATTACATCTAAATTATTTTTTCCTTTGCATGGTAAAATTGACTAGTCTTAAACATATTTTTGTTATTTAAAAATAAATAAAGTAGTTCACTGGTTTTCACAAACTGCGCAAGCACAATGCCTAGCCTCTGCCTACTTTTTAAGCATTAACTATCTATTTTGTTACTGGCATCTTTCAATAAAATGAAAATGAACTTGAAGTTTTCATTGTGCATCTAAGGGACTTACATTGGTTTTCTAGAATTAGTTACCCGCAAGATTTTTAATAAAAGCTTTGACAGTTATAGGATCATTTCTTTTAGTTTTGTGATACATTCTATCTAGTTTTCCTCAGATTTTTAAACGTACTTTAACGATGACTGCTCGAGGCCATCATTCGAAAAAGATGAATACGAATGTATGTTTATAATAACTATTAAAGTTTTTCATATTTTAATAGTATGAATTTCTTAAATTTAGTGATCAAATATTATATAGAACCTACATATACCTAATTTAAGTTCAACTTGCTGCAAATGAATCTTTAAAAGCATCATAGAAAAATAATTGTGTTGATTTTTCACGTGAGAAATTTAAGATAATTTAATGAATCATTAGCATACAACAAAATCAGAAAAATATACTCCGTTCGCTATTAAGAAAATTTATTTATATCCCATATCATTATTAAATTAAGACACAATAGGTTTTAGTGTTTTGTTTAGTTCATAGTAAATCTAAAAATTAGGCTTGGAATAGCACAACCGTTGAATACAATTGTTTATTTAAGACAATAATATATATAATTGCAATGATAAATTTACTTACTTTCTTTACAATTCTTTCCCTGAAATCCAAGTGGACATAAACATGTAAAACCTTTAAGTCCTGTAAACATTTCCCGTTGTTTAAACATACAGGGTTTGGAAATCCACATTCTTGTCCAGGACAATTTAAAATATTCACGCCACCTATCGCATCCCTAATGGGATCAATAAGTACTCCGTTTGTTTCAATCTAATAGAATATTGTTTAAAAGAGACCAGAGACTCAAACGTTTTGAATATATAAAGCTAAAGTTTGCTACTAACGAAAAAAAGCGGCACTTAAGGTGTATGGAATTTTCGGTTTTCTCTTTGTGAGAACACAAAATTCTATAAAAACAAGCAGTTTATCCAATGTATAAATGAAACGAAAATATTGAATTATGACTTTAAATTACGGATCCATTAGTATTTATCTTTTGTCACTGAGATCTTCAGTGGGAATGAGATATATGGATGGTTCCGTTTCCACCTTATTTTTGAACTGACTGAAACTCAAAACCAGGATTACGATAGACCACATAACATGTAACTACGCGTGTTTCAAAATTGAAAAATTCATGCACCCAATACTGTATTTATTAAATAATATCGCCTCTAGAATACGTAAAATCACAGTCTTCAACCAATGAAATGAAACGGTTGATTATATCACACATGTTGTTGTAAAATATTGATCATTTTCCACCATAACAATTCAGCTTTAGTTCACAATTTAAATCCAATTCATAGATGTAATGAAGAATAATACTGACAAACATCATTCAGTCAAAAATCTTTATTACCCCATTCATTACAACAATTTGTTCGGGAGTTGAGCTTTGGAATGAGATGCACACAACATAAACTTGAAACAAATAGAAACGCTATGCAGAAAACATTTCTATGAAAATCCTTTTTCCAATATCTTAAATGTCACTTTTGTATCATAAAAATTATTTGTAGTTTAGGGAGAACCAAACGCAATTCATGAAAACAGAAGCCGTACTTCAAAGATTTGCTAACACTTGACGTATCTATCTATAACTTCGAAAAAGATAAGAGATTTTAAATGTCCAGAAACACACAATTTAGAATAAATTAAGACCTTGAAGGAATTTCAACTTAGTCATAATTTAAGATTTAGGACTTATTGTTGACAGAAAGATTCATCTTGAGAAATCTAAAGTTCATCTGATCATTTAAAATCATAAGTAAATGCATGGTTCTACTATTTGTAGAGAAAATAAAAGAGAGAATCTAGTGATCTAAAAATACGAGATAACTGCAAAGTATTGCTCTACAGGTAATACAGCCAAGTGACATACTTTACTGATGCATCCTTGAAATCCAATACTCAAATTTGTTGCATATCCAATAAATGGTTTTATATGGGTTGATATAAAATTAGCATTTGGATGTCCACCAAGATACAAAGAGTAAGTTAACGTTAGCTGAACTTGTAAACCGAATGAGTAATTTGTCATAATATGCTCATCTGAGTCGACTTGGAGATAACCATCACGACCAATTCGCCAAAAATGGACTATGTGCCATTCATTTAATTTTATTTCTTTTTCATTCCTAAGTATAAAAACGGAAATTATTTTATTAAAATTTAAGAATGCCTTTATTGAAAAGATATTCAAGATATCTGTCTATCGTAGTTGTAGAATCATAGTAATAGAAACAAACCACTTGGGGATAAAAAGACTGTAGGGGAGGTAGAAAGAAAGCAGATGGCCGCTATAAAAGTAAAGAAGGAAAAAGTAATGGGAGATTGAGACCACGTTAGAAGAAGGGGTTGTGCAAGTTTCTTTGTACAAATAATCCTAGTCTCTCCAGATGTACGGCAAGTTCTTCGGTAATGCTAAAAAGATGTAAACTAGCTGACTTTGTCAGCCTTCTGCTTGTCTTGGAGATGACTTTGAACACAGAACCCGTTATAGTCGAATGACTATTGTTCACAAGGTGTTCGACCATAGGGCTTGTTAATCAGTCGTTTTCAGCTATTTTCAGCCAAGCCGAGTAACGTTTTTAAATTCTTTCGATAGAATACGCATTTAACAACCTATATACCTGGCTCCACACGAATAGGTAAGTTAATAAACGCATATGGAATCGGTCGAATGAAATAACCTATTCACTTTAGCGCTCAAATATCCATAAAATATGACTGATTCGAAAATCAATTTGGTTGCAAGCAGGTTAGTCAGTTCTTCTAACTGTTTTCAAGAACTTATGATATATGTTATATATTATTATTAGTCTGGCATTTTAAAAGCTAAGAATCCTCTCATATATATTTGGATGAGAAAATCTAGCCATAATAATCCAATAGTCATCCGTTTTGGGAGGTTATGTATTTAGAACTGCATACTGCTAACAGAAACATTATCACCCGTGTTGGTTTGTCATGTTACTCTGATCTTTAGCGTTTACGAACTAATAGTAGGTATCTTCTAATCTAGGCTTAAAGCTGATGAAACGAACTTCCAAATTTTAACCACAACACCGAGTAATCTTACGCCCCCTGCTTTAGTCCACCGCGACGTCCACAGACTTTGCAAGAAGTGACCCATATGCAGAATAGAACTTACAGTCATATCTTGGTCCCCAATTTTAATATAGATATCTCGAATAAACAATACTCCATGGTCTTTAAGTTAGAGCCTGGTTAAGGCATTTGCCGTTCTACTTATAACCATTAAAAACAACACCAAAACTTGGTGCTTTTTAATAGCAGTGTGCAGCCTTCTATTTCTTTGACATCAACTAATTTTTATAACATTCGTATTTTAACGTGTGGTCGTGATCTTTGTTAGCATTCAAGAACTGAGTACCAGACTGAATAGTATCCGATTACTGTGTTCAATTATTTTCTCATCTGCTATTAAACTTCCGGATCGGAGTCGACTATGTACTCTCAAAAAATAGAGATAAGCTTACTTTAAAAACGCTGAACCGGAACCTAAGTCAAACGCCACTACAACATATCCATGAACTAACATAATAGCCAAGAAGTCCCCACGCCTATCATGACTATAACCTTCATATAAAATCAGCCCGTTTGGTTGTAACGGTCTAAACTGAAGTTCCAAGGTGGTGAATGATGATGATGTTCCACTCAATCCGATATACTCAGTGTACGAATATCCGTTATAGAACGGCATTATTAGCTCAACTCCTGTGAGAAGATAACAAAAAAATATATAGATAAATACAAGTTCATAAACTAATCATCAAAGTACTAATGAATACCAAAAATAAATTTTAGAGAAGCAAATCATTGATTTCTACTGGAATAAAAATATCTTTGCTAGAGATTGGTTTAAACTGAGAACAAATGATTACCAAAATGATGGAACACTATATTAAAGCTTCGGATTCTCATACAGTAATCACTACTTTTGTAATCGACTTGAAATGAAAAAAAATTACGTATGTGGTCCTGTCATACATAGAATAAGTTATTTTTGTACGGTAGCCGGGTTGTGAGAGAGAGAGAGAGAAAAGTAACTAAATCAACTGTTCTAAATAAAATATATCATTAAAAATTGGACTTGTATAGCAGCGGAGAGTTTAAACAACTTTTTAATGGTTTCCAAATAATTCGAAATGAATTCGAGTTGATATATCTATGGGGAACCTTGAATAAACGAAGCTTGAGCACTCAGTCGAAAGAACTACACTCTATTGTATGTTATGATACATTTCTTGTCTGCGTTTTATGTACAAACTCAAACTGTTTAACAAAGCACTCAGTTATATTGAATTTACAATGGAACATGAAGTGGGAGGTAAACACCGTTTCTTACATGTGGGGATCAAACGAATTTCAGATCGAAAACTACAGAGACATGTCTACCACGAAAATACATAGAGTGAAGTTTATTTAAACTAATCAAATTTTGTTCATTAAGTTATAAAAATGGGGATTGTATGGACCCGTTATGACCGCACTCGTAAACTCTGCTGAAAGGAAGGCCCGGAAGAATAACTTGCCTTTATTACAACTTGCTTACGTGAAATGCATATTCAGCGACATTCATCAAGAAGTATGTCAAAACCAACGTACGTGTTGAGTACGATATGGTGGGAAAGAAAATCCGCTTCTTATAATCGCGCTTCAAATGATATAATGTCACTGGAATAATTAGTCAGGGGATAAATGTCTCAGTGAAGGTTGTTTATTCATCAGCAAGAATGACGAAGTTATGCTAAATGAACTGCTCACTCAAACAAATAAAAGTTGACAAGTCCTCTTTTCTCAGTACCACCGATTTATATGTACGTCCCAAAGCACATACACTGGAAGAACAGAGAGAAGAATACATGTCCGCATTTTGAGCATATACCAAAAACTTTTACACTAAGAGGCTCAACAGCTCTAAATAATGCAATAGCCCTCCATTTAATTGACACTAAGGCTGTCATTAACGTTCCCTAATTCTTCAAAATTATCAGAAAACAAAATGTGAAACGTCTCGCCGGTTTGTTGAAACAGTAGCAATCGAAGAACTCATACTTAACTTATGTGTTCATAACGAGATAGTAACCAATTTATCACTACATTGATAAATTTACAGTTTTGACTCATTTCACCTGGAATTATTACTTTTTTGTTATTATCATTATTAATATTATTTTATTAGTGTTTATTTAGTTAAGTGGTCTTCGTTAAACTAAATCTCATCTAAGTACACCAAACTCATCCCTTCCTTCAACGGTTTTCTTGTTCACTCATTTATTTAAACTCTTCAAATCTTGTTTGATTATTACTTAACACATCCTAACAATTTCTAATTCTATACAAAATTACCAACTAATGACTAAATGTCTTTTATATCTACTTTCATGTGATTTCAATCCTATTTAAACTCTTCACAACTTTTATGATTATCAAGCTATTTACTATACGTGTTTTCTCACTCCATTTAATTACTGACTCATCTTCATTTTCAGATGATCTCACATGTACATGCACATATATATGATTGTACAGCCTGATAACAAATTCGTTGAAAAGAGATCACTTCACTTCACTTCGTGTTTTTATTGTTCAAGTGGAAATTGTTTATTTATGTTTTAGCCGACACACAAATCCACATGCATACTGAGAGAAAACCTATCTAAATAGAAATCCGCTGAACCATTATAATCAAAGACACTAATGGCATTCTTCCCCCAAATCCTGGAATCGTAGTTTACGTCTTTTCTATAAAAAATTTTAAAAAAACGAATAAAATTGGCTACATTTGCTTCCATTGATTCTGACGCATAAAACAAATAATAGATGAAAAATATTTCTTTCAGTGATTTACCTACATATCTAAATAGGAAGTTTAACCTCATTAAAATATAGGCGATTATTCTTTGAAATGTGTATCTGAAGATAAAAAATTTTTGAAGTTTTTACTGTTACTGTCAGAAGTATGTATTTAACTTACTTTGTTCACATTGTTGACCCGAAGTACCCAAAGGGCATTGACAAATAACACTGGAACCAGATGTTTGCAAACACGAGGCATTATTTTTGCATTCTTTCTTTTCACATAAACCAAAACCACAATTAGCTGAAACCAGATAAGAAAACTGTAAATATTCTCATTCACTAGTGGAATCAGTGAACTATTTCAGAACATTATAAGTATAGATACTTCGAGAGACGTGTAGTATTCATTTTATCAATCATTCTGTATACGTAGTAGATGTAAAATCTGTAAACGTTTTGATTAAATTAGACGTATCATACTACTGTATTCGTGACTACTTGTAACTTTGCGGTTATAATTAACATTTTAGATAGGTAGAAACATAAAAAGTGATCAATAATAATATGACTGACAGATACACGACTACATAAAGATATCAATTTGTTCTGATGATTTCAAGCTTACTAAGTCAAGTGAAGAATCCATGTTCAAAACAAATATACCTCATCTATCCTAGTCATAACCTGTGTTTCATCATAGTCAGTTAACCACTACCTCTACATCATACAAAAAGCTAAATTAGGTCATCTTTCCGATCATTTTTAGTGTGATTTAGTCAACATCACTTCAATAACAACACGAATTTTTTTACAAAACCGTTGTAAGAAAGTATAATGGCCATATTTCATTATGCAAAAATGAAATCTATCAAAATTCATGAGTGACAAAGAAGTTGTAGATGTTTACAAGAAATCAATACACTGATTAATAAAACAAAAAATGAATGCAGCTTAACTTACTAATCCCATACCCATCCACAGCATCTCCTAAGAAAGCCTTACGTCTAGGATCTATAGGAACTTCATTAATCCGTATATTTTGTATGCAGCCACTATAACTTTGCTCAAAAATATAACCAAGAAAATGAATTGGACCTCCTGTTTTAGTTGATTCAGGATGTCCACCAAACGAGACATAACTGAACTCCATATCATTGACATTTTTCAGATATTTTTCATAATGTATAACATCCGACCATGGAATGACCTATAATTTTCATATATTAAATAATTCATGACAGGGAGTAGGAATAATCAAAATGATTCATTCCTTTATTATTATTTTACTGACATTTATAGGCTCCTTACAACTATAAGGCGATATTTATTGCAACCATAAAAATGATCTTATATTGTCAAATAGAGTTTTAAAAATTAATGGGTATAAAATTTCAATGAATTAAAAGAAGAAGAATATTGTCATGAAAATGGATGGTCATTAAAGTACCACTTAAGAAATTTTCCGTTTCAATTGTTTAATCATATCAATAAAATCAACATACATAGTCGACTTCTCAAAAGTCTTTCACTTGAATCAACAAACATATAACTTCATATATACTCCAGTAATACAAATTCAAACTGAAATATACGTGCAAAAAGTTTCAAAATACAAGTATGAAGTATTTGCATGCTTTTAAACTATTCTTCTGGTTATCCAGGTTGTATTAAATTAAAGTGAAGCCAGTACAGGTTAATCAGTTTATCTTATTCTATACATTATACTCTAAATTCTTAGCCTACAAAACATCATGTAATTTATGAACGCTCTTTACTCATTCAGACGCAAGGTCCCCTAAAAAGAAAACAATAATACTGCTTAATATATATGAGAGTGAATCAAATAAAGACTTATGAATGATTTTAGGACTTAAAAGACTTATATCCAAAGCTAACTGACTGACTGACAGATGTCCTACTTATATTAACTTAGACAAGGAGATTATCTAATTCCTAAACAAATTATTGATCTATAAAATCAACTAATTAAAGGAGAAATGTAGTGATGACAATGACAGACAAGCTGTAAGATTCCTTAATTACTTTAATTACAAAACTTTATTCATTTCAATTCATTAGTCAGTTCGGATATTCACTTCCAACAGTTGAAAAATCAGATGTTAAAAAAGTGATTTTTTTTTTAAAGTTCATTTTGCCTATTTAAGTACTGTATATTTGTACTGAAAATCTTAGTTTAACTTCTATGAAAATGTAAACTTGTAATTTACACAAACTGAATTACCTAACGCTTACACCAATAATGAAATTATATTTGTAAACATATGACCGGTTGAATTTAAAATTAATCCAACATTTCTGTCTTCAGTCTGCTTCAAGCTTCTTTAGGAGAAATAATCAAACATTAAAATTACCGAATATCATTCAAAAATTAACTGTATGCTAGATGTTATAAATCGAACATGTCAGAGCATGAATAAAATGAGAATAAATAAACAAACAAATATATGCAATTTTGTGTTATTCCACTAAATCCACTAAACTGATTAGAGCAAATCGATGGGGAAGTATATTGTTGTTGTCCACGAAACAAGAGAATAATTAACTGAAGTAAAACGTAAAATGAAATACAGCTTTTTTTCATAGCAATTACTCTTTGCCATGGGATCTACCTAACGCTTAGTATGATGCAGCTTCGTGTTTGATTTTACTAAGAAACATTTCGGTATCCAGAATTTATATAATAATTCAAGAATTATTCATAGATATGAATTTCATTCAAGCACTTTCATTATGAATTTTCTTTTAATTTGAAGAGTTTAAACTGCAAGAATTTGTTATGTGATGCCCAAAAAGTAGGCTAAACATTCGGTCATAATTGGTTGAGTGCTGAATAAACTCAAAGCTAATTTTCTTCAGTCTCCTATGACAGCTTGCCATTTTTATTCTGTGTTCGCATTCGATATATAAATGTTATTTTATTAAGGAAAAAACTGTCTCGTCTTCGAATTCTAATCAATTTGGATTTCACGTCGATAATACGGCCTCGTCAGTAGTCGTCGCTCAGCTACAATTCACATAACTGAATTTATCTCTCTATTACTATTCTATCCGTTGATTTTACGAATCGTAAATTTCGTTTTATCAATCATCATAAACCACTTCCATAATAGATTACGATCGATAGCATTCGATCTGCACTAATAATGACTAGACGAGCATGACATTGATCACCACCCAGTGATCAATTAATTGTGATTACATCTCAGTCCTACAGGAGGTTGTCACGGCTCGGATAGCTCAGTGGTAACGTCTCTGACTGTGAAGCTGGGTGACACGAGATCGAATCCGCCAGGAGCACCAGTTCCCTCAAGATTACAGGCACACCTTGCTGACGAGTGCCAAGTAGAACGAAACCCGGGTCCAGGGTTTCCTGCTGACTACCTCCAACCACCATCTAAATAGATTACTTGTAAAATGTTTTTACGATGTTAAAATCATTAGTGTGGTAGATTTACCAAATGTACTTTTGTTCGAATTTTGGAGCTCATGTGATGGAATTTTCCAGGTTTTCCTGTTAATAACCTAACTGTAAACACATAATTTATTTCCAAACATGCACAGGATGTCAGTCAGAATAACATACGTTTTTGACTGGTATGATTATTTTAAATTGGTGTGTCAATAAGTTTTTCCATCATCTTTCTGAACAATCGTTCAACCTTTCAAAGTATGACTGCAAGCAAATTGATATTTCATGCAATACTTAATCACTTAAACATAAAACCCTTTCTATATCATAGAACGAAGTACAAAACTTGAGTGAGCATATCCACTTTCTATGCCGTATAGTCTTGTTATATTATTACATTTGTTTGACAAAATTACCAATTTATGATTATGATAAAACCCATTTATTCGGTATCCCTATGTAAAGGGACTCTTATCTGAATTTGTGTATTCTTTTGAGAACTAATGAAAATTTGTATTTGAATTATACATGAACTAATAACATTTGTATACGCATTTGCCTACTGAAATATATTAAAGTACCATCATTTTTCAGTAAAAAATTAAATTTAAAGCTTCGAATGTAGTTAGAAAATATAGAAGGGCATTATTAAAGGGAAACTTATTTTCATATAAACAGCATCTTCTTTAATTCCATCAACACTCAGGAAACCTTTTCCATCAGCTGTCTCCCCAAAGGAGATATAATACCACTGCTCACTGTTAAGGAATGTAAAATGCTTAACTTCCTGGATTTCCTCTTTACGATAGGGTTCATAATTTGTTTTCGAAATTCGCAGAGATCTAAATAGAAAAAATGGAACACATCAATAAAAAGACGTTGTGTCTTTAAAAGAGTGTGAAGGTATCATTTTCATTGGAAACGTTTAGCAGGTATTTACTAATGTGGTGAATCGGAATTTAATGCATGTCTATTAAGGGACCACCTAATTAAGTCAATGAAGTGAATTTTCTAATGTTATTTTAATCTACGTGAAATACAGATTGTCGTACCAGATACACCGTTTGTAGAACTTAAGATGACACTTTATATGAAAATATTCAGCCTCTTGGAGTTTTATTTTACAAAACCTACAAAGAATTGACCAGTCATTATAAAATGGGATGAAATAAATATTTTAATACAAACACAATATAGAAACATATCAGCAGTAAGTTCACCAACTTAATTTCAAGAAATATGTACCATTTAGAGAAACCTTTGTAATGTTACTGATCAAAATGGTAATAATTAGGTTTCCTAATCGTTTAGATTAAAATGAACTAAACGTAAACAAGATACATTACTTCACATGCCGTTTCCTTTTTTTCGCAAACCTACTAACTTAAGATTTATATCTGTCCATCAGTTGTTATCGCAACTATGTGCAAACCTATAGATATGTAAGATAAGACATGACGCTCATCATAACATACATTTCTCTTTTAGTCATCAAATCACATGCTGTGTATTCCAGTGGTAATTCCTCTGTCATGTCTCTTGAAACTCCAACACCTGCTTTCTTTTTTACTAAAAGACAGTTTGTCAGAATGTTTGCATGTTATAATCTATTTATCAATGATAATCTCGTGATTATATTCAAACACAGATAAAATAATCACTCAATATTTAATCGTAAGTTCATCTATTAAAAAATTCTGCAGGACACTTGCAAATCTCATCAAATGCGAATACTATAAAACTGTAGCACTATCATTTGCATTCTTAAATAATAAAACTAGCATCGATAACAAACTCCACTCCTTCAAATAAGTAAATATTTTGACCTATTTGCGTGCGAAGAGAAAGTAAAATTAAAACTGAGTTAAACGTTAATTAGTCAGAATTCTGCTAACTCAAAAGTATGATGTTACATTCTAAATATACCTAACAAGGTCATATCAATGATGCAATTTTGAAACGGAAACAGTCGATACATTGTTTCTAGGATGAGCCCTCTCAATCAAAACACATCTATATTTCAAAACGTCTACTAAAAAAAGAATAAAAATGACTAAAAAGAAAAGTCGGATGGTAGAATTAATCAGTAGACTTGTTGAGGGGAATCTAATCACCAAGTTGACTAATAATATTTTAAACATTATGAATCTCGTTTGTCCCTTAAGTTACATGAATGGATTGTCCCATTACAATGCATGCTGTTAATTTGATCAATTAATCACAAAGTCGCTTGTTGGCTAACGTGACCAGTTTGCTGACAACTGACCCCGTAAGAATAAGTATAATCTTTTGAAAAATGAAGTCAAACCATTATTTCCTATGGGTTTATCTGGTCATTTGGTGTAACTTCTCTTCTTGATAAGACAAGCATCACGTGAAGTAAAATGATTTTTGTTAATGTAAACTAAAGGTGTTTTAATATGAAATTGAACATTTTGGAATACTTTTATCATATCTGACAGAATCCTTACTACAAGTGTATGAAGAATGAATTATTCATTTTTGTTTATTATTTTCACACCCAATAAAAGTAGATTAATATATTTGACATAACATAACATACATGTAAGTAACTCTGTCTTCTGACTTCCGTTTACTATCAGTCATCCGTTTTGCTCATTACGTTAATTTGATGACTATTTTAGGGTATTTTCTTGAATAACCGTTATTATGAAAATACAGCATATTTAATATTAACAAACTAATTGACTATGAAACAT